AAAAATAAGCCTCCTGAACACATTATAGACTGTGGAGACATAGTCTGGAGTCTTGCTTTTGGGTCTTCAGTTCCAGAAAAACAGAGCCGCTGTGTTAATGTAGAATGGCATCGGTTCAGATTTGGACAGGATCAGCTGCTCCTTGCTACAGGATTAAACAATGGCCACATCAAAATCTGGGATGCATATACAGGTATGGATTCATAATTTCAAAGATGAACCTGATTATTTTATAATAGCACTGGAATACATGATTTGAGGGTTTTAAGGTACAGAAAGGTGAAAATGGATGTGTCTTTATAATTGTTCTAAGTCTTGAGTTCATAATTTTAATTTAGGAGAATAATACAGAGTTCATGCTTGATAAAGTATGCAAAGCATGTATGGGTTGTATTTTAGTTATTTATAAACGAATGCTTTAGTTTATGACTCAGCAAAAATGTCTTACATGCTTTTTCAATGATAGCTTAGAGGGTTTTGAGGGAAATCAGTTTTTTGTATCCCATGCAGGCCTTAAACTGGATGTGTAGCAGAGGATGACCTTAACTCTGCTCCTCCTGCCTGCATCCTGAGAGCTGGGATTGCAGGCTTGGCTCACACCTCCCATTTTTATGCAGTGCTGGGACTCCAGGGCTGCGTATGCATGCTCGGCAAGCACCCGATCAACTGAGCATTTATCAACTACAAATCGGGGTTTTTGTTTTGTTTTTGGCTTTTTGAGACAGGGTCACTCTATACTCATGGCTGTCCTGGAGCTCACTATGTAGACAAGGCTGGTCTCAAACTCACAGAGATCTGTCTGCCCATCTCTGCCTCCCAATTTTACTGGTGTGCACTACCATGCCCAGCTCCCAAATCTGATTTTAATAATCAATATCTAATCCTCAGAATAGTTTGGTCACCTTATCCAATAGCTAACCACATAGATTGAAAAGTTGAGTTTTTTGCCAGGTGTGGTGGCACACTCCTTTAATCTTAGCACTCAGGAGGCAGAAGCAGGCCGATCTCAGTTAGTTTGAGGCCAGCCTGGTCTGCATAGTGAGTTCTAGGTCAGCTAGGACTATGTAAAGAGATCCTGTCTCCAAAACCAAAAGAAGGAAGTGCTCACACTGAGCATGGTGATACACAGCTGTAATCCCAGCACCGAGAAGTCTCAATGGCCAGCCTGGTCTACATTGCCAGTTGAGGGCAGCATGAACTGCATAGTAAGACCTTATCTTCACCAAGGATGAGGGAAGCAGCCCTGTGGTAAAGGGTTTGCTGAACATTGCCTCAAGCCATGGTTCAATGCCCAGCAATTTAAGAAAAAAGAAAAAGTTTGATTTTGCTCTGGTTTCTAGCATAGTCTGTGTGTTCAGAGATATAAAAGAATTTAAGTGGGTGTTAAAGCAAGAGTACTCCAGAACACAGACAATAATAATGACATTGAATTTGGGACAAGGAAGCAAAGTTTGATTGGCTTATTAGAAAAAAAAAAAATTAAGGTAACCACAGACAGGTTTTTCTGGAAAACAAAACTTCCAGTAACTGGTAAGTACTAAAAATGTTTAGATACTGTTAGAATTATAAGTTGAGTAATAATATTTACTTTGTGGGGCATTTCATAGTCCAAGGGCAAGGAAATAAAAAGCAAAGAGAAAAGTTGGTATTCTTGTTTTAAAGTCACACTGGGCCTGGTGAGCTGGTTCAACAGTTAAAGGTGCTTGCTGCCAAGCCTGACAGCCTGAGTCTGGGTCCACATGGCAGGAGAGAGCCAGCTCCAGGAGATCGGCCCCAGACATATGCGCGCGCACACACAAATACAAATACAGAATAGTCATACTGTGCAAATACTTAGAAGAGACAGTGGTATAGGGCTTTCTTGATGCTAATTTGATCTGGGGGTTTGCTCACATTTCAGTCATTCCTTTTACATTTTTCTAGTAAATGCAGTGTTTGTTATCTTGGGAGGAAATTACTTAAAAATCTGTTAAGTAGTGAATCCTCACAAATAACAATAGCCACTAATTAATAAGTGAAATAATTTAGTTCATAGAACTAGGAGGTACCCAAGAATGTCGGTTCATTTTTTTTTTTGGTGTTTCAAGACAGGGTTTCTCCGAGTAGCTTTTGCGCGCCTTTCCTGGAACTCACTTAGTAGCCCGGGCTGGCCTTGAACTCAGAGATCCGCCTGCCTCTGCCTCTGCCTCTGCCTCCCGAGTGCTGGGATTAAAGGCGTGCGCCACCACCGCCTGGCCTGTTCATTCTTTTTTGTTTTTTAATGTATTTATTTATTTATTTTTAAAGATTTGTTTATTTATTATGCATACAGTGCTCTGCCTGCATGTATCCCTGCAGGCCAGAAGAGGGCACCAGATCTCAATACAGATGGTTGTGAGCCACCATGTAGTTGCTGGGAATTGAACTCAGGACCTTTGGAAAAGCAGCCATTGCTCTTAACCTCAGAGCCATCTCTCCAGCCCCCTGTTCATTCTTTACAGTTAACAAAACTGTAAGAAAATAAGAAATATTGATCCTGTCTCCTTTTTTTCCCTCTTTCAATCACATTTAGGAAAGCTCCTCCTTAATTTGGTAGACCACATTGAAGTGGTCAGAGACTTAACCTTTGCTCCAGATGGGAGCTTAATACTTGTATCAGCTTCAAGAGACAAAACTCTGAGAGTGTGGGACCTGAAAGATGATGAAAACATGATGAAAGTCTTGCGGGGACATCAGAACTGGGTGTACAGTTGTGCATTCTCTCCCGACTCGTCCATGCTGTGTTCAGTTGGAGCCAGTAAAGCAGTTTTCCTTTGGAATATGGATAAATACACTATGATAAGGAAACTGGAAGGACATCACCATGATGTTGTAGCTTGTGACTTTTCTCCTGATGGAGCATTGCTAGCTACTGCATCTTATGATACTCGTGTGTATGTCTGGGATCCACACAATGGAGACATTCTGATGGAATTCG